CGTGCCTGAGGGGGATTTGTCCAGCAGTCCACCTTTGCCTCTGCAGCTTGTCTGGACATGTAGCGGTGTGCATCAAATCACACACATATATGTGCAGAGAATCATACAGAGACTGTCCCTGTTTTAGCCCTGAGGGAGGCAGATCATTTGTTAAAACAAAAACCAAAACCATTATGCCAGTACACACACACACACACACACACACACACACACACACACACACACACACACACACACAGGGTGGTGAGCTCACATCTGAGGGCTTCTGACCCACATAGGTCCACATGCAGGATGCGTCCCACTTCTTACCAGTGCATCATTAACCCACTGTCTACTGTCCCAAGTTGTGGTTTCTGCTCACCTGAGCTCACGTTGTCCATCCAAGCTTAGTACAGAAACTTGAACACACACACACACACACACACACCTGTGAACTCACATTCACAGAGCCCATGTATCAAATTGGTGTACTGGGGTACAAAAGTGCACAGTGTCGACCATATTAGCCACTGCCTCACACACACACAATCCCTCCTACTCTCTCTCTCTCTCCCCCCCCCCCCTCTCTCTCTCTCTCTCTCTCTGGCTCTTTTCTGCCTTCAGTCTCCGCTCCTGCTGTTTCATTCTCTTATTCCCTCTTCCCACTCTCTGTTTTTTCATCCTCCTCTTTGCGTTTCCTTCTTTTTTCTTTTACACGCAGGCATACATCCATCCACACACACATACACACTCTTTTTTCTCTCTCTTCCTCTCCTCGTATCCACCGGCAACTACGCTGAGAAGCCTCCCTCACCAACCCAGTGGATCCCCTCACTTGACTAATTAGCCCTGAAGTGCTGTTGAAGATCATCATATTTAGCTTAGCGACCTAGCGGCAGAGTGCAGACAGATTTAGACTAGGCTGGCTGGAGGCTGGGTGCCTGGCTGCGGGCAAGCTCTCTATCTCTTTCTGTTCACACTCAGAGCCGAGGACTTCTCAGTGGCGGAGCGGCGGAAGTGAGAGGTGGTTTTTGCTTTGAAATAGACGGGAGGGGGAAAAAGAGAGAAGCGCAGCTGAGACCACAACAAAACCACAGAATGGGAGAAGGCTGCAGGTGCAGATCCTCCTAGAGACGGAGACTTGGAGGAGGCAGTGGTCACTGCTTGTAACAAACAAAAGATTTAAGGTGAGAGCTTTTTAATGTCAACTGGCCTGCTTTTTATTCTGGTTGCTGGGAAATAGATTGATCCTGAATGTGTGTGTGTGCGGGTGTGTGTGTGAGAGTGTGTGTGAGTCTGAGTGAGAGTGTTTGTGTGTGAGAGAGAGAGATAATGTGCAAGAGTGTGATTGTGCATCTCTATGACCCACATTGTCGAACCTGAGGTGCAGCACAGCAGGAATTCAACCCCCTGCCTCTGTCTCAGACACACACACACACACACACACACACACACACACACACACACACACACACACACACACACACACACACACCACACACAGCACCACTTGTTGGACTGTCATCTGAGTTGACATGTAATGAATATTGCAATATTCATTACACATTCATCAGACATCAGTAAATGTGTGTGCACCTGTGAGTTTGTGTGTGTGTGTTTGTGTCTGCACCCACAAGATAGTGAGTGGGTCTTTTGTTTGCCGTGGTGCTAGTGCGAGCGTTAAGGATGCACATCATAGTGAACGACATGGACAGCAACATAAGAGACGATCAGTCACGCCAGCCTTATGCCCGATTGCTTTTCACTGCTTTTGAAGATGGGTGCATAAAAGAGGACCCAAATACTGTAAATACAACAACATTTCTTCTGTGTATTTATGTATAAATACAATTATTTTATCTTCCACTGCCTTTTGCTCAACCTCTTTACTCTTCTTTAGTATAAATTAATGCCATTTCAAAAACCTGAACGTTTCTGCTGTGGCTTGCTTGTATGTGAGTTGATATTTCATTGGGATGGTGAGATTACATTATAGTGGGATAGTGTTTCCCATGAGGCAGACTGGTGGTAGTGAAGAAGAAGGGTGAAAACTGGGTGTATGAGCCACAATATGAATAATTAACACTCTTAAACACACTGAATGTAGCCTGCACCTTTCCGTGTGTGCGTGTCCATGTCTTTGAGCTTAACATTACACAGTCCAGAAATCTTAATGTGAGACTTGTGCACTGCCAGATAATTGATATTGATATAATTTATTTTAAAAGGACAACACCTGTTCTTAACCTGCCTGTTCACAATGGGCTTTTTGTTTGGCCTCTGGTGATGCTGGTTGCGTGACCTGCAGCAATTGAGCCTCAGGTTCAAAGACCAACTGCTGGACTCAGTCCACAAATGCTCTGGTTGAAAGATTCTCCAACTTTTTAATTTAGAACATATCATGTGTCCAAATAATCACATCAAATTCAATTCTACACTTCCTTGGGCCCTTAACAATAAGCATGGCAAGTGTGAAGTGTGAAGATCGAGCCACAAACAGATTTCTGAAATGATTAGATAAATATCAGCTTATTTCTGGTTCGGAGGTCTGATAATCCTCGATAACATGCATGTATGAGCTAAAATATCCTTTTTGATTAAACTGATACAGATGAGAGAAGATTTATGTGAAGTCAGGTTTCTAGGAGTTTTATTACTTCAATGGTTTAGCTACTAGTGCGTACACTGCCGTGTTTCAACACTATTTAATAGGAATATTTTCCATTTCTCCTTACATGCAAAAATACACTTTATTTCTTTATTATGGATAATAAAATGATGTATTTATTGTGTTTCTGTAAACAGGAATTAATCATTCACTTTTTCCTTACTCCTTTAATTTTTATTATAAAATGAACGTATTCATTACATTTTTCGTCCCCATCAAGGTTTCATCTGTCGAATTTAGCATTTTATGATATTGTTTATAGTTTAGGTGCACTGTGAATACATGGACGCATTCCACCCTTGCATAGTAGCTTCCTCCTCTCTCCCCAATAATGACCATTGATTAAGGAAGGGGCTGACAAGGCAGCCGAGATTTGCCTTCAGCCATAAAGTCAAGAGATAATTGTTATCAAGGAGATGAGGGGGTGTGCTCGATATCTGAGAGGAAATCCCATTGATATTTGAATGAATAAAATTATACTGCAGATTGCTGAGGGCTTTCGCTTTGAGATTGATAACATCAAATTTTAAATGTTTGCATTTGCTGGTTGATTGAAAGAGGCTTCATATATTTGAACCCCCTAAAGGCACCTCTAAACTCCAAAAGTTGATCATACATTATTTGTCAGTGATCCCATAGCATCCAATAAACTGTCTTCCCTGCTTTACCTTTCCTCACCATCTCCTCCCCTGTTTCCTTCTTTTCCCACTTTTGGGACTGGAGTTGTTTTTCCCCTTCAACTTCTACCTGTTATTCCCCCAATCACTATTATTTCCCACTGCTGAGTCTGCTGCCTTTCACCACCACCCTATTTACTTCTGACGAGTCTCTGATCGTCTGCATCATGACTTTGCCTCCCTCTTATCTCTTTCTGTCAGGCTTTTGTTTTTGATCATCGCTCCTCTGTTTCCACTCTACTTCTCCTCCTTTCAACCTCATTTCCCCCCCATTTTTAGATTGCCTCCCTGTACCGATGTGTGTGTGTTTGTACATGGTGTACTGTACTGTGTATGTGCATTTTTAGTATCATGCAGAAAACATCTTTGTGGACATATGATTGAGGAAGATGATGTGTGCATTAAGTGCAGTTCTTTTTTTGATGATAGATAATGAAATGACTCCCTCTTTGTGCTCAGACATGATTATTGGTAAAACTGACAACATGAAGCACGGGGCCATCAGCTCTTTTCAGGGTTCCTGTTTTTTTTAGTGGACGGATGGCACATTATGAACTCCAGGTGTAAAGTGCACTCCCAATGACTGAAGATCTTAATGGGACACTGTGTCTCTATTGTTCACCGGCAAGGTTTGATTTCACATAGGGTGCCACGTTGGTGAAATTCTGCACATCCGGAAGCTGATCTATTGATAGAAGAGTTGTTTTCTCTCTCATACAGAGACTCAACCTGATTGAAATTATTCATTAAATTGTGGTTTTTAATGTACACTTGCAATGTCTTTTTTAATTATTTATTACTACAATATCTTTGTATTGCTACGGCTGAGGTGTGGTACATATTTAGTCAATTAAAACAAAGTATTTGTAAAAGAAAAATTTGCACTCATACTGCAGTGGTAAAATAAGTATTCAGATCTTTCACTATAATAAAATGAGCAACACCACAGTTAGATACTGAGTATGATGTCTATGATTATCATTACATACGTGAATTATAAATTAATTTATAGAACATAGTGTATTAGTTTATTGTATTGATTATCTGAATCAGCAAACTAATCTTATAATAAACTAAATTTAACAACAGCCATCAGATTTTAGTGGATTAAAAAGTGCAATATTTCCAGATTGTGGAGTAGACAGTAAAATGGCATACCATGGAAATACTCATGTTAAGTTAAGAACCTCTAAACTGCACTTGTTCAGTGCCTGAGTAATTGTACATTCCACCACAGTTAAATTGAAGTGAATTCTTTATTTAAGTCAGGGTGAGATGTCCAACCTTGACATAAAGTTGAATGCATTACTTGGCTTGAATGTTGGGACTGGAAGTTAATTTCAATGTGAATGCATTTCTTATTCATAGAGAGGTTGGAGCAGCATCACTGTTGGGCACATGGAGTTTAAAACCAATTCTGCCACGCAACATATTTCTATATCAGGACACGTGTGTTTGGGCTTCACTGAGGTTTTAATTTAGTTTAATCAACCTACACAATATTTTAAGCCAAGTGACTAAAACTCACAGATTTATTTCTTATTCATTAGCACGCATCAAAAATCACCCAGACCGTTCTCCTAGGGTCAGCAAACCTCCACACCAAATATATATGTCTGACACAAATACATCAGATCTAATAGACTGAAGCTGTACAATGACCTTTCACCCCACAGATGATTGACAGCCAGCTATCAGCACAGAGGAGGGCGATGATGAGGAACGTCCCTGATGGAGACCAAGGCCAGCAGAAGACCAGCACCTACATCGTGCCCTGCTTCCTCTTAGTGGAGGTGAGTGTTTAGACATTCTTCATAAAAGGGAACAATATACAGCACAACTGACTCACATATGATTATTTGAGCCTGATCTGACCTGAAAAATGGAAGCGTATTCAAAGACTGTTGCTCCTTTCTTTTCTTAGCTATGACCTTCACGCTAACGGCAACATCTGTCATCATATCTGACATATTTGTCTCAACTTCAAAAGGAATCTAGAGTCAGAAATGTCATCTTGTGCTAATATCATGGACAGATTTGAAGAGCAAGCTGTTTACTCCGCAGGTGTTGGACGTTTTTGAAACCTGTGTGAAGCTGGAGTCACACAGAGCAAAATGATGGACGCATGAAAGCGCATTTTCCGGTCTTCTGCCTGTGAATGTTCTCCCTCCTCTTTTCTTCCATTTCTGCGGGATCACGTTCTTCCATGGATTTTAAACGTTTCTCATGGCAGATTAACAACAAAGGATGTCAGTTGGGCAAACTGCATGAATTAGCTGGCTCTGTTTTCAATTCACTGACTCCCAGAAAAAGTGATTGATTTGATCAAATTATCACATTTGTGTAATTACCCTCATTCAGTGAATCTCTTGATAAGATTCAGTGAAGGATCCAACGCTATAGGTATTCTACCTCAAAGGCTCCTCCCGAGTGACCTTTTTGCTCATTACCTCCTCGATTACTTTCCTCTTTACTCTTCTAGTCTTCCCATGACTTCTCTCTTCCCTGTAATCCCTAAATGACCTGATGGAGCGCTCACGGCCTCTGCCAGATTTCCTAATTAATTGGCCTAATTAAGAACGGAAACCCAATTAGCCTGTGCCACTTCTAACACGCTCCAAACCTGCAGGTCGCCAGAGCTACAGCAACTATAGCAGAACAAGGTGAATTGGCGCAATTCTTTTGAAATAATAATACTAATCTTTGCTTTTGAGTCTAGTTAAAAATGTGTTGTTGCATATGGTTTGAAATATTAAAGTTATAGATGAGTGGAAATTGTTGAGAGAAAAGCAGCATGTGAGAACGTAAATGTCAGCTGCTGCGGACATTCCCCATAACTTATCCTTCAAGCACCACTGAAATGTCCACACAATGTCCCAGTGAGCCCATGTGACAAAACAGCATGACAACATGCAAGTGGGTGCGTTTCTAACGAATGAAGAACTGAAAAAGATCAAAAGAATACAAATATCTCAGGATAAAAAAAAAGGTGCCATACCTATTGAAGATGCCACAGAAGATGTCAACTTGGAAATGATAAGTTCCGTGCAGTAAACAAAATCAATGATTTCTGGAGCAAAATGTATTCATCACATCCTCCGTCCTTCATGCTCTCTTGTTACATTCCTCATATCTGAAAGGCAAACTCTGGAAAATGTCCAGACCCAATTTTCCAGACATTTTCAAGGTGATGTCTGAAAACAGCTAAAGACAATCAGAAGTTCAGGTTTTTCAACAGAGGTAAAAGCCCACAGGCAACAAGAGAGCTAAGGCTAATTGTTGAAGTTTTCCTTTCCTTAAACCGGCTGAGACAAACTTAAGCAAACACAGATCTTGTAAAAAAGTAGCTCGAACACAAAAAGTTTATCGGAAACTATCTTTAGCAAACTACATCTTTATTTAGCTCACCTGCAGGAGCAACTAACTTCATCTACTGAAGGAGTCTCTTCACCGTTGCTCTCCTTTCTTTCTTTGTGCTTGCTCATTTCACAGCATGCTCTTGAGATCATACCACAGCATTTTCATCTGCATCCAACACATGAATCCAACATAGTTTCTACATAACAATACCCATCGACACACCTCTGTTACCACTGCATCTCCTCATACCACAAATATCTCCACTCTCCCTTCAGGTTCTATGCAAGGGTCTTATGGCTTCTGCTTTTACTTCCTTTCATTGTGCTTTGGTACTGGCTCATTCTCAACATCCTCTGGAGGACTTGTTATAATGATTTCTCCACTATCTAATTTTTTCATACAGTGCGTCTATTATATCTCTAGGCTTGTATCCGTCAGTGGTGCTCCTCCCCTCTTCCAGTATTCTCTTTGACAGTCTCTTGAGTACTGCCCAGTCACTCCTTTCGTACAGATCCTCCACATCACTCCTCTCCAGTGCTTATTCCCTCGTGTAGAGATATCTTTTGCAACACAGATCTCTCCATTATTCCCCCTTTAGTTGAAAAGCTTCCTCTCCTCCTCCCCCTCAAAATATCTGTATCGAAGACCTCCATTCTCCTCACGATTCTCTCCATCTTCATGCCATTTCCTTTTCTTCCTCCTCTTGTTTTCGTTCATCTCTTACACATTCCTTCTCAGGGTTAAATAGACGTTGCCCTGAGCAGACCGTGTCCTCATGCTCCCCTCATGTCACAGACTGAAAAGTAACGTGAACACGATTTGAGCCTGGGGAGGCAGAGTCTTCTCATTCTGTCAACTTAATCACCCCCTTCTGCCGGGGCCTATATTGAGCCTATTGTTTTTATTTTCTCCAGCACAACCAGAGGTGTAATAATGAGAATAATGGTTTGGCTTTAATTACTACATACCCACCTGAATGAATCTGTGTGCTTTGCGGTAAAGCTTAATAAAGGGCATTTTTAAATGCCTCTGCCCCCTCTGCTGTGTTCTTACTGAAGCAGCTTGCTGTAGCATAGCTCCCCCGGAGGGCACTCCCCCCTTTGTTGTTACATTAGCATCTCATTAGCCATTTATTTTTCAGTTCAAACATCCAGTCTTATTCCTCTTTTTATCTTGTGATCTTGTTGATGATTCCCTCTCTGTTTCACTCTTTTTCTCCTCACAATTTAAACCTCCGTCTCTCACTTACTGCCGCTCTCTTTGTTTCTTTTCCTTTATCTGCACGGCTATGGACTTTTTTTTCTCTGCTCAGTCTCACTGTCGGCCAGTTGTTCCCTTTCTTTTTTATTTCCATACTCGTCTAGCATCTCTAACTTGAATGAATCTAATAATGAATCTCTACTTCTCTCTGTTCACACTTTCCATGTTTCTTCCCTCTGTCTTTTTCTCGTCAGCATTTTCTTCTTACAAGAAGATTAAAATTCAAGAGTGATTTCATACGATTTCATCTTAAGCAGTGCGGGATAAGGGCAGTGTAATAAAAAGCAGCAAAAGCAGTGTTTCTTTTTTTTCTCTCTCTCTCTGAGTCTGTCGCCCTGTTTCTTATGCTCCTCTCTCTCGTGAGCCACACAAGAGACTGGTCTGGGGCCTAACAGAGGCTCTGCTTCAAAGGGGCCTCTTTAAAAAGTCATTTTGATACAACTTATTCCTGACTCAGTTCAGACACTGGTGGGTGGGAGAAGGGATGTGAGTGGCTGTGATCTAGGCGAGGCAGTCCTACTGTGAAAATCTGTACTGGAGCTGAGTTACAAAGTACTCAGAGCGACTACAAGTGGACTCTTTGAGTGGATATCGCTGAGCATGCAAGTAGTTATAGTACCCACAAATAGTAGCATGGTATCAGTTGTAACCATAGTGAGATGTGATAATAATTACTGTTAACTTTTGGCAGATTTACTGTAGTGACTAAATTCATGGTGCCACTATAATTTGCACCCAGGCTCTGCTGTTCAGCCTCGACTGCCGGCTCAGTATCTTCCTCTTCTTTGCTTCTTCCTCACACATCGTTGGCTGCGTCCTCCGGTGGCCCGGCAACTACTCGAAAGTAAAGACTGCTGAGCATCAGACCACATAATATGTCAGGTCTATGGCCAGTGCTGCATCCAGTGATACTCTAAGGTGTTGTTTCATGTCTGTTCACATCTCTCATTTCGTCGCTTCCCTGCAGATGCCCTAATTTGTGCCTGCTACGTGCTGCTGCTTCTTGTCTCATGTAAAAAAAATCTGCAGATATGTAGGTTATTGTCTAATTTGCAACAGCAAATGAGTTTTGTGACAAATGTAATCCTGCCCCAACTACGTTTTTGGTTTTATTGAGCTAAAGAGAATCATTCATACAGTATATTGTTGAGTCATTGCTCATTTTCATAATATAAAAGAAATGTTAAACTACTGTGGATATATGGATGTAAAGCTGGTGATACATACATACCTTACCAAGGCAGGAGGGTTGTACTCAAGAATGTTTGTATCTGAAAGACGACACATTTGAAATGAAAAGAATTTGAAGTTGTGGTTTACTTGACCTCTGCTCTTCCTTTGTGCTTGAGGGTTAGGTAGCTGGTACAAGCATAACAACATAAAAAATGGTCTGATTTGTGAAATCGGAACGAACTGTTGTCAGTTGTTTGGTCTGTGGGTAATGCCAGTGCCAGGTTTCGGCAAGAACAATGCTTGAAAATTAAAATGATGATCTGTAGTTCTGCTTCATTAGTTTTGATGTTTGTGGTGAGTCTGACAACATTAAACCACAGTGCTAAATCAGTGGAGTATTCTCTTAAGGTTATGCCTGTTGCAAACTCCAGAATAAACGGGTCAGGTCTGATTAAGCTCTCCCAGCAATTGCGGGGGCGTTACCGAATTGAGGCAGATCTGAGCAGACTATCTGCCCAAATTATCCTGTAGTGATTTACATACATAATTGCATAGTCTCCCTGATTTTAAATCATAAATATCCGACATGTTTGATTTTGATAGTATGTAGTATGAAAGGAACAGCAATTGGGCGAGTGAGCTAAAATCTGCAATAGCCAGTGAAAGCGAGCTGAACCAGGAAGTGTCACCAACTGGATGTTGCGTACTTGTGTTTAGAGCTGAAACATGGCAGCCTACAGCGTAAACAAGACTTGTTTCCCCAGGGTTTAAAGGCCAATTGTTTGTGTCTGCAAGGTGATTGGATTTTCACGATTAAATTATTAAAAATCTGTAACATCGGTTGTTGTTACGTCTGCGGTCTTCCACGTAGTTTAAATTAGTAACCTCTAGTATGGAGTAGGCATGGTTAAACATTCAAAATGTCAAAAGTGATGATGCTTTGACAAGATCACTTTAAGAAAACGTGACAAAAGGTTTTCACTTTAACATAATGACTGAT